TACTTGCATGATGTTAATTGGCAAAAAGATGCAAAGGTAATAAATATATTATGGCAGTTAAGAAAGGAATCAGACAGACCTAGGTTCAAATCCCAGCTAAAATAGCAGATATGTGCCTTTGGATAAATTATTTAATATCTCTAAAATTTTAATTTGTATTATCTCTATTTGGTATTATTTCTAATCACTTCCTTGCAAATCTGATGTTCTCATTCTCCTTCCTCCACATTACTAGAACCGACTAACTTATTTATAAATTGGTGGAAAGCATAAATCTCTACTGGTATAGAAAAAAACAGAAAGGGAAAACAATTGCTGGTGACAGTTTAAACATTTTATTAACAACAAATCAAGCCACAAGGGAAATCCGAAGATGAGAAGACAGAAAGAGCAGAGAAATTGGGTCTCTCAGACAAAAAAGAGAAGGCCAGAAAATCATAAAATCTAAGTTTGAATGTGGCAACATTTAATTCCTTCCTTTTACTATGTGTCAAGGGTCTGCTTTAGCACACTTTTCAGTTGAGAATTTTCAAGAGAAGCACTTTTTCAAAATTCACCAGTGAATATGGAATTCTGCTTTTCCCCTGACTTCCTAAGAAACATAATAGTATATACTTCCCCCTCCTCACCTGTCGCTCCTAGAACAGACTTAAAGTTTCCATGTTACAGTGATTGTGAATGATTGACTTATCATCTCTTATTAGCAAGAGAGATCATTACTCTTACAAAGTAACACCCCTAGAAAAGGTCTATTTTTATACGTTTTGGTACAAAATTCTGAAGTACCTCTAGTAATTTAGTCCTTTATTTGCCAGTCATAAAGAGTTCATTCTAAGTTAACATTAGCTAGTCCAAGCACTGTGAATGCTGTAGGAGGACTGGATATTTTTATCAGATTATAAAACTTTTGTCCATTCTTACAATTGTTAGGAGCATTAGCATTAAGACAAATTCTGTTCAAGATGCTAGGTGGATGTATGACTTTGATTTGGATAAGATTTCCTGATAAACTCGCCAATCTTTCAGCAGCTTTCCATATTCCCTCCACCCACACATAAGGCCAGACATTTTTACCAAATGACTATATTTCAACTCTTCTAAATGATCTAAGAGCAAAGAATAAATTTTTAACTTATTGTGATAAGTCTTTACAGTCAATCACGACTCGAAATAATGCGTATCTATAGTAATTGTGTGAAACGAATGTTTGATACTGAAAACTAATATCTAAATATTAATAATTCCTAATACTGCATGCCATCCCCCACCACTCCAGTTACATACAGGTTATTTGAAATTGTAGGTATACTCATGCCTCTAGCTTTGCCCTCTGGCCTTAGGTTACTGAATAAAAACAACAAAGGGGTTGACCTATCCTATTTCATTGCAGCTTCCTTCTTAGGAGGGAGAGTGGTCAGCTGGTCTCAGGAATTCTTATTCGCTCCTGCTATAAAGAATATGATTAGTAACTGAATTTTTAAAAGGTTAAACTTTGTATTGGATTGATTATTAGAATTCTTTTCAAAACCCACCAACGTGCTGCTTGGTTGGCTCTTCGAGCGTCCCTTGGCTTTCCACAGCATTTGGATTCCATGCTCCGATTGGCTATATTCACTCATATTAATCCAAAACCTAAGAGGCATATTTCCCCATCTCATTTGCATTCAGGTTTTTCTGCATTTTCTAAAAGTATTGATTTTAAGTGAAAAATCTATTGATGCAAAGGATAAAGATTACAGATATAATGTGGGCTTGTCATAAAAAAGTAGAATTCCTTAAGATATAAGGCAAGGAATAAGTTATCTAAGTAATGGAGACCTAGAATGTTATCATGGAAGGGGAAGAATAGAGATAGCATGAGATTAGAGATTGAAATAGAAAGAAAAGAACAAAATTTAAATTAAATAAGCATTACTAACTCTTGCAGAGTTTTAAATTTTCATAGAAGAAAAGAAAAGGAAGAAGGTCTAAACTCATCTCCATTTTGCCTATTCAGAAATATCCACCATGAAAAATTTAGGACTATGGAAGAGGATCAGAAAATTTCAGCTCTTGGGATTTCTTATTTGTCATTATAACATCCTCGTTCTTCTCTATTCTAACACCTCTGGGAAATGTGCAAGTAGCATCTTTATGTCTTAGTTCAGGTTGCTGTAACAGCATACCATAAACCAGGTGGCTTAAAGAACATATTTTTGTCACCGTCTGGAAGCTGGGAATCCCAGGATCAACGTGCCAGCTGATTTAATTCCTGATGAGGGCTCTCTTCCTGGTTTGCAGACAGCTGCTTTCTTGCTATATCCTTATATGGTAGAAAGAGATGATCTCTTCTTATAAGGACACTAATCCCATTCATGAAGGCTCCACCCTCGCGACCTAATTACCTCTCAAAACCCCCACCTCCAAATACCATCACATTGGGGATGAGGGCTTCAACTCATGAATTTTGGGGGAACACAAACATTCTGTCCATAGCAAGATATAAACCCCATATATAATTCCTTTTCTCTTTCTTAATTCTGCTACACTTTTAAATCACAAAATATCTAGCAGGTTTCTTCTAACACATGTTATTTCCCAAGCCAGCTTTAGAATTCTGTTTAAACCCCAGAGATTATCAGAAAGAAAAAGCATAGAAAAATTATCATAACAAAAGTCTAAAAATTTATAATTAAAAACAAACTTTCTGCACTGTAAAAAAAAAAAAAGACTGCTACGAGCATGGCAGTGGCAGTAGGGAATTGAAAAGAAGAAAGAATATCAAAAGACAAAAAAGATGAATAAATAAGTTAGTAACCTTTACCTGTTAACCAGTCTTCTGAAAGGACGTGACTCTCTGCCCTGGTTAAGAATGTTTTTTTTAAAAAAACGTTTGTTCCATTAGAAAAAGTGACTTTTACACATATAACCCCCCACACAGGCCTTCCAAAATGGCTTGGGTATTTCAGTTAGTAAAGTGAAGTTAAAATTGACTTCAGGGATAGCACATTCTTGTAAGATTTGATATTTCCACAAAGTCCCTTTTCTGGTGTTCCAAGTAGATTTTCAATGGGAACTTAGCCCATAAATTTTTTTAAAAACTAATCTATTTTCTTTTTAGCAATTGGTCCAATAGCAACCAGTAAATTCCTAATGTCTTTCTCCATTTCTTCTGGTCTCCTGTAGCATCTGGTTCCTTCCTTTCCACTGACACTTTCGACATCTGACCACTCTGAACCCTGAGAGTCAAATTGTTTTCCATCTCCTTTCCTCCACATTTTCTAGTATTCTTTTAAATTTCAAATAGCTTTCTTGTTGTTTTTGGTTATTGTTGTTTTGGTTTGATTGGTTTTGGGTTTTTTGGTAAATTAAAGGCCCACAGAAACAGGAAACCACATGGAAAGCACAGAAGAAAAAAAAAGTTGTTCCTCTGGTTAGAGAATTCATTCACAAAAGAGAAACAAAGAGAATCAATGCTGACAAAATATGCTGGGGTCAGATCTCAGGAAAGACCGTCAAAATAACACAGTAAGAAGTTTATATATCAACCTGAAACTATAAGATCACAGAATAAAATCCCAAAAGATAACAAGGTAGAAATAATAAAATGAGGAGATATAGCAAATGAGAATATAAGGAGAGACAGACAGCAAAATGCAAACAGAGTTGAAGATGAAGGAGAAAAGCTGATCTTTGTCCTCCCCTCTATAAATTTGATCACATCTAAACTTGAACCCTCACTGCTGCAGAGAATAAGCTTTTTCTGACTTCCACGGGCTGTGTTTTGCCAACTCCTGCTATAAGGTGTAAGTGTCCTAACTCCACATTTTCATTTCTGCTAAACAATCCTGGTATTGTGTTTCTCACAATTTCAAGCTTGCTTATTATTTTGTGCTTCTTATGTTAGGTGTACCAAGTAATATCAACACAAGAGATATACCCATACTCATATTTCAGTACCTGGAAATGACTGTACCTTAAATATTTCATATCAAATAATGTCAGTGAGCAGTGTTAGCACACATCTTGTAAGCAAGACCATTATGTATCCCATATTTCATAGACTGTAATCTTGAAACTCAATGAAATTGCTAATGATTAAGTAAAAATAAAGGCTATTTTAAAGTAGTTTATCACAAGGTCTTTCTTATTTTTTCTTATTTTTCTATTTATCACAAGGTATTTCTTATAATGGTCTATCTCCATTACTTAGATAACTTATTCCTTTCTAAAGCAGAAAAGGCCAAGAAAAGGGGGAAAGGAAATGTAGATTTCCCACATTTAAATAATTGGAACTTAGTTGTTAACAACACAGATTCCACCCAGGAAAAGGCCAAGAAAAGGGGGAAAGGAAATGTAGATTTCCCACATTTAAATAATTGGAACTTGTTAACAACACAGATTCCACCCAGTGCAGAGGCTTGGGGATTAGGAAGAAGAGAAAGCCCAATACCTCCTGATGTGTGTGCCATGGTTTCTTTCGGTAGACAGATCTGGAAAAATCAGGAAGTGTGGATCATTTCCTTCCCTTATTTCTGTGTCTAGGACCTTTGAGTTCTTGTTCCCAAATTTTCTTGTATTACAAGTTATTCTACCTTAAAGTAGGCAATATTCTTAAATAAGTGGTCTCCTCATATTTCAATTTTGATTTCCTCTTATCTATTTTCCTTTTGGAAGAAAATATAATGGTCTTGTATTTTATTCTAATCATTTACTACTACGGATTATTAGTAGTATATATTCCCAATTATTCTACCACAACAGAGTCTATTTTCTCTGTGCTATAATTTGGTATCTGATAATTTTTACTGAAAAAGGGAATCCCCTCAGATTGACAAGAAAAAATAAGTGTCAGGACAAGATGGTGATTTTGGTAATTGACCAACAATACATATTTTTCAAACTGATCAGGAGAGTAAGTAAAAGACTGATTTGTGAAAGAACAAAGAAAAATAGGAAATGGAATAATCTGAATTTCAGTAGTATTGATATTACTTACCCAAGAATTCTAATCCTTACATTAACTAAATGGCAACCTAAAGATAACCCTCTCTGGAGTGGGATGTGGAGTTTTGTCCAGCAGCACTCCTGAGGATGAAACAGAGAGTATTATACTCCTTGGAGGTCCTGTTTCTGCACCTAGAAAAGATATCATTGGAAAGTGGGTTCTCCTTGAGTTAGAAAATCCCCACTGATCTATATTTGGTGTTTTATTTTTAGCACTATCTCCTATGGGTAAGTTCCTTATCTATTCTCAACTCTGATATTTTACATTGCTTATAGTTATTTTCTGGCCTCGCTGTTTCTTCTTATTTATTTATTTGTAACATAGTTGATTGTACACATCTGTGGGGTACGAAGTTAAATATCAATACTCGTGTACAATATGTGATGCTCAAATCAGAATAATTATTATATTCAGTAATATACACTGTCATTGCTATTCGTGGCCCTTTACCAATTCCTCCTCCCCCTCCTTTCCTGCTTCCAGTAACCTCAGCTCTCCTTTTGAAAGTTCAGTGTATTATTGTGAAAGTTATATCCTTCTTTCTTTCTTTTATTTATATGTTTAGTATTTTAACTCCCACTCCTGAGTGAGAACATATGGTATTTCTTTTTCTGTGCCTGGCTTATTACACTTAATATGATTTTCTCTAAGTTCACCCATGTTGCTGCAAATGGCAATATTTCATCATTTTTTACTGCAGAGTAACATTCCATTGTGTATATACACCATATTTTCCTTATCCAGTCATCTGATGATAGACATTTAGGTTGGTTCCAATTCTTGGCTGTGGTAAATAGAGTTGCAATAAACATGGGGTGCAGGTATCTCTTCAACATGATGCTTTCCATTCCTTTGGGTATGTACTCAACAGTGGAATTGCTGGATCATATGGCAATTCTATCTGAAGTTGTTTAAGGAATCTCCATACTGTTTTCCATAATAGCTGCACCAATTTACAGTCCCACCAACAGTGCAGGGGGGTTCCCCTTTCTCTACATCTTTCTTCCTGGTCTGGCTGTTTCTACTCCAAAAATAGAGGTGTGTGCTTCTAAAGTCATTTTAAATATCCCTATTCCCCAGAATCTTCAAAGATTTTACATAATTAATTTTGGACAGATTGCTGTAGAGGAGATGAAGTTCATATGAAAGGATGCCATAATCTCCAGCCATCTTCTAGACTCTGGAAAATAACTCCTCTCTGATTCCCAGCAAAATTTAATGAAAGAAGAATTGGTTCCTGAGTTCTACTAGTTCTTTGCTGGGAATTTGGAACTCCTTTTTAGTTATAAGTGAAGGCCCTCTGAATCATGTTAATAGAAAAAAAAAAAAAAACTAAGAAAAAATCTCATTTATTTTCTGTTGCCTTCTAAATAACTTTACCTTTGAGGGACAGTAGGTATTGAGCACCTTCTACATACTGTACACTGTGCTAGGCACTTTCAAAAACAGTATCTCTTATTTCTTATTCTCACCATAGCCTTGCCTGGTAGCTATTATTATCCCCTCTTTACAGATCAGAAAACTGGCTCAAATATTTGCCCAGTGTTTAAGAGATGGTAAACAGCAGTGTCAGGATTTAAACCCAGGACATTCCAACCCAGTTTTCCAGGACTTTTCTGAAGTACATACTCTTTCCATACCAACACATTGCCTCCTATACTGAATCACAAATGCCCGTTTTGTGATTAGTCATGAAACCTTATCTGTAAATCAAATGTCTGTAAATACAAATATATATCTACTAGAGAAGCTGTATAATTAAATGTATGCAAAAGAATCCTTTTAAAAATAGAAGACTTTCTATTTAAGGCAATGTTTGACTTTTTTCTAAATTCAAATTTCAGTATACTGAGATTATTTAATGCATGGCTCAGCTCTTCAAGGAAACCATATAAAACAAAATAAAATAATACTTTCTTAAAATTCTGTAAATATGTAATCATAAGAAGCAAATAAAACAAATCTAGTGAGACACATTTTAAGCATTTCAAACATTCCAAACACTGACAAACACAAAATGTGTCTTTATATTTAACCATGTTTAAGCTCCATTCTTCCTTCTCAGTTTACACTAGAAAGAGGGTGGATTTGGGAGGAGGGAGGACAGATAAAGTTGAAAGGGGCAATTATTTTCTTTTGATTTCATGGTACAAAAAATAGTATGCATTCAGAGCAGTCATGAGGTGCCTACATTCCTCAAATGCCCTCCCCACCTAGGGACAGTAATAGAACTGTGATCTTGTGTGTTTCCCTTACAAAAAGAAAGAGAGCTGTGATGGCTAATTTTGTGGGTCAACCTGACTCTCTCTGAGAAGGGATCACAGGCCAAATCTCTTCCTGGAGGTAAATTAGTTTTTAATGAGTACATTTTTTAAAGTTGCCAGAAAAAAAAAGTCAGTTTAATTTTTCTAATTTTCTTGTAAAAGATATACTTATTGATATAATCTTTCAAACACATTCTTCCCAATTGATATTTTTAGAAAAAAGAGGTTAAGGTTTAATTCAGTGTTCAAAGAAAAATTTAAGACATCAGACCATGAAACATTATCATCCTCTCAAGCTAATTCACTTACTTTTCACCTCCACATTCAGCTAATAAGTATATAATCTTTTAAAATGTAATTTATGGCCTGAAAAATATAATGACATCACTCTGATGCTTAACAGATCTTTTAGAATCTAGATCTGATTGTGCTGTCCCTGCCAACCACTGGATTAAGAATCTAAGATTAGTTCCCTAATAAAGCCCATGTTCTATTTTCTACATTTAAAAAAAATGTATTTATTACAAATATTCATGAGGTACAAAGCTGATTGTCCTCCCTCCTGCCCATGATGTGAGGGCCAGATTTTCTACAGTATTTTAAGTATCATATAATTAAAACTATTAATGTGATAGTGATTTTGTGATATCTTTCAGTTTTAGCAAAAATTAAACCAATTTAAAATTTTTAAACATTAATTTTTAATCAGCCTGGACACATTACAATGATCCCCAAAGTCTTCATTAAATCTTTTGATTGTACTAGAATTTTGTTGCATGGGCTACTGCCTGAAATAAATGGATTTTCAGACAGAGCTTACAAACCTTTATATTATAAAGATTTACATGGTAAGTATAGAATGATTATGAGGTCCAAGGGAAAGAAAAGATTTATGCACTATCTTGAAACCTGAGAGAAAAAAGAAAGGAACTTAGAATGTGGTGAAATAATAATTTGTGGCTTAATTCTGCGATGCAAAGTTGAAATAAAAGTGAACTTCACTTTATGGGATAGCTAGGTTCCTGAAAAATAAACTCTGGCAAATCTAATCTATGTTAATTAAGTCCAAGATAGAAAAGATAGCAGCAAAGATATTAAAATAATCAAGGGTATGAAGATACAATTGCAAGTGACCAGAGGTATTTTTCAATGTAATGGGAAAAAGAATAAAAATTCTTTTAATTCTATGAAATTAAGAAAGGCATAGTTAGAATAAAAAATGAGTGCTTCATTAAATCCTAGAATATTTAATTTTGGCTGACAAAATCTATACAATTTAGAAGGTAAATTTGGGTTTTTAAATGGGCCATGCAGTATCACACACAGTAGTAAACAATTACCCCAATATACAGTAAAACTAAAAATATTCCTATGTTAAGAAAAATCACCTTGTTTGAGGAGTACATTCCACAGTGTTTAAGGTTAGAAGCTTCAGTGGAAAAACACTGTCTTCTCTATACTGTTCCACATCTCACCATACTCCCCAAACTTTTGTCCACTGGTAGCACTATCAAAGACCAAAATATTCTGGATTATCTTCCTCAATTTAGCAATGTTTGGGATATACTACCACTGATTTTCATTAAAAAATTGGAAACGGGTTTGTTTAGAATAAAAAGTTAGTAGCCATATTTTAATGAAGAGCATTACAGGGGAAAATACACAAAAGGGTTCTTACTGCAAGGTTCCTAATGTTATTTTTATTTTGGTGTCAAAAGCTTAAAATAAGAAAGATAAAATACCAGAAAACACTGAACTATAATATTCCTTTTGGTTTATAATTAGCTTCTTCCCTAATACAGGTGTGCCTCATGTTTACTACTGATAAAATCCTGAAGTTAAAGTTCAATAATTAATTTTTAAGCAAGAAATCTTCCTGTAATACGATTAGCCATTCTTACAAATTATTTATTGGGAACTAAGAGTGCCTTGTCTTGACTGGGTCAGAGAGTTTGTGCCTGTACGATCTTATTTAGTAGTAGTCATAGCCAATATTTATTGATTACTTACTATGTTCCGTGCACTATACTGAGGCTTACCTAAATAACATTATTTCACCCTGATAACACCTCTGTGAGGTATCTATTACAATTGCCCTCATTTCATGGACAAGAAAATGAAGTCTGCCCAGGGTCACCCAGCTGGTAAGGTGTGGAGCCAGAATTTAAACCAGTCTGTCTCCAAAGGTCTGGTACTTTAACATTTGTCTAAAACTTTTAATAATTCTATGAAGTGAGCAGAACAGACTAAACACAAGGAAAGTGAGTCTTTGGGGACTAACCGATTTATCCAAATAAACCCAGTTAGCAAGGATAGTAAACCCAAGTCTTCTGATTCAGCTTTTAAATTCAGTATTCATTTTACTGTATTAAATATTAGGTTTTCTCAAAATCAGACACGCCTCTTCTCCACAGCAAGAACCCAAACAATTCTCCTTGGTAGCTTAGATATTTCTTTTACTTAATTTAGGAACAAAGTTACAAAGAAAAAAAAAATACTTAGCAGAATCTAACAAATTCAAGTTTATTAGTTCACACAGAAATTGAAACATAGCAGAGCTGATTTACCTGCACATGATAAAAGTACCTGAAATTTTTTCAAAGTGAGTTAGCAGATATTGCAAGAAGCAGTCTAAGGTGATAATTAAAACTGAACTTTGGAGTCTGACTACTCAGGTTCAAATCCCAGCTCTACCACCTACTGATTACAAGACCTTATTCACATTTATTTAGGCTTTCTGTGCCTCAGTTTCTTCATATGTAAGATGGGGATAATAATAGTAGTTACACTATATGGTTGTTGTGAGGATTAAATGATTTAATACATAAAATGCTCAGTGAGTGCCTGGTATATGGTAAGCACTTAATAATTATCAGCTAGTATTATTATTATTACCTTTGCATAATGAGATATGTTTTTATTCAATATGGAAAGCATATTTGAGTCTCCTTTCTCTATTTTAAGAAATAATTATTGCTTCTTTCCATAATTTTTACTTAAAATAAATTCTATTTCTTTTCAGAATACATCACCTGTTTGCCCCTAAGCATTATTTATTGGCCATAATCGACTGAACAAATGCCAGTTTATTTATAGTACATTTAGGCTTTCCTCTCATTAATCATCCAATTTACTGAAAAGAGTCTAGAATTGTATCAATACTTCTACAATTTTATGTGTAGAAATCTACCATTTTATATTTTCAGGAAAATCTCAAGTTATTTCCAGTTTGTCAAGTTTAAGACAAAAATAAAAATAAAAAAGAAACCAATATCAAGAGGAAAATAGAAAATACTTGATATCTGAATCATGTACTTTTGTTGTGTGCTCAATTATATTTACAGGTTACATGGATGGACAACTTGCAATACAATCAGATTCCAAAGCCCAGATTCTAAAAAGTGGAGGCACTACACTTTCTCAGAATAGCCAAGAAGAAAGCAAGGAAGCACTAAAGAATGAAATTATATTTACAGATTCTGATGAATACCTGATATCAACAAGAAAAAAGGAGCCAAAAAGAAAAGGAAAAGGCACTGATTCAGAGAAAGACAAGATAGGAATGGAAGTCAAGACAGAGAATGAAGCTGGAATACCACAAGGACAGGAAGCCCAAGAAAAGAAGAGTGAGGTCAGAATACTGAAAGGACAGGAATCCCAAGTAATAAAGAGTGGGGCCGGAATACCACCAGGACAGGAATCCCAAGTAAAGAAGAGTGACACTGGAATACCAAAAAGACAGGAATCCCAAGTAAAGAAGAGTGGGGCCGGAATACCAAAAAGACAGGAATCCCAAGTAAAAAAAAGTGAGACTGAAATACCAAAAAGACAGGAATACCAAGTAAAGATGAGTGAGGCAGGAATACCACCAGGACAGGAATCCCAAGTAAAGATGAGTGAGGCCAGAATACCAAAAAAACAAGAATCCCAAGTAAAGAAAAGTGAGACTGAAATACCAACAAGACAGGAATCCCAAGTAAATAAGAGTGAGATGGGCACACCACAGGGACAGGAAGCACAAGTGAAGAAGAGTGAGACTAGAATGCCAAGAAAACAAGAATCCCAAGTAAAGATGAGTGAGGTTGGAATATCAAAAAGACAGGAATCCCAAGTGAAGAAGAGTGAGGCAGGAATACCACAAGGACAAGAATCCCAAGTAATAAAGAGTGGGGCCGGAATACCAAAAAGACAGGAATCCCAAGTAAAGAAGAGTGGGGCCGGAATACCAAAAAGACAGGAATACCAAGTAAAGATGAGTGAGGCAGGAATACCACCAGGACAGGAATCCCAAGTAAAGATGAGTGAGGTCAGAATACCAAAAAAACAAGAATCCCAAGTAAAGAAAAGTGAGACTGAAATACCAAAAAGACAGGAATCCCAAGTAAAGATGAGTGAGGCCAGAATACCAAAAAAACAAGAATCCCAAGTAAAAAAAAGTGAGACTGAAATACCAAAAAGACAGGAATCCCAAGTAAATAAGAGTGAGATGGGCACACCACAGGGACAGGAAGCACAAGTGAAGAAGAGTGAGACTAGAATGCCAAGAAAACAAGAATCCCAAGTAAAGATGAGTGAGGTTAGAATATCAAAAAGACAGGAATCCCAAGTAAAGAAGAGTGACACTGGAATACCAAAAAGACAGGAATCCCAAGTAAAGAAGAGTGACACTGGAATACCAAAAAAACAAGAATCCCAAGTAAAGAAAAGTGAGACTGAAATACCAACAAGACAGGAATCCCAAGTAAATAAGAGTGAGATGGGCACACCACAGGGACAGGAAGCACAAGTGAAGAAGAGTGAGACTAGAATGCCAAGAAAACAAGAATCCCAAGTAAAGATGAGTGAGGTTGGAATATCAAAAAGACAGGAATCCCAAGTGAAGAAGAGTGAGGCAGGAATACCACAAGGACAAGAATCCCAAGTAATAAAGAGTGGGGCCAGAATACCACCAGGACAAGAATCCCAAGTAATAAAGAGTGACACTGGAATACCAAAAAGACAGGAATCCCAAGTAAAGAAGAGTGACACTGGAATACCAAAAAAACAAGAATCCCAAGTAAAGAAAAGTGAGACTGAAATACCAAAAAGACAGGAATCCCAAGTAAAGAAGAGTGACACTGGAATACCAAAAAAACAAGAATCCCAAGTAATAAAGAGTGGGGCCGGAATACCACCAGGACAAGAATCCCAAGTAATAAAGAGTGACACTGGAATACCAAAAAGACAGGAATCCCAAGTAAAGATGAATGAGGCCAGAATACCAAAAAAACAAGAATCCCAACTAAAGAAAAGTGAGACTGAAATACCAAAAAGACAGGAATCCCAAGTAAAGAAGAGTGACACTGGAATACCAAAAAGACAG